GAGTATTATAAATTCGCAAACAGAGGTAAAAATGATACCAGGTGTGCAACATTGAGCGAATGCACACTTTAAGCGTCATTTGATGACAATTGATGACACCTAAATAAAGTAATTAACTTTAAAGATCTGTGTGAACGGTACTTAAATATTCCGTGACGCTTACACAACATATTTTTTATTTAAAAGTATGCCCGCTGAATACCCCCACACTCCGCCCGGGCGTTAATTTTTCCCCTACCGTGGGAACCATCTCTGAATATAGCTAATCCATAACTGGGCTTTTAAAAAATTATTTCCATCAGTTATTAAGTTTATTCTTATCAGTCAGTTTCGGTAGGTTTCCATTTGACAGTGTGGCCTTGCGCTTGTGTCTCGTGTATGGAGGTTCATTAGACAAAATATTCGTAGTTTCGACAGACTCTTCGCCGGGTTACATTTATTTTGTCATGGAAGGAGGATTTCAATTGTCCAAGCGTCATTCGGTTTCTCGTACGTCACAAGCAGTTAATTCATTTCACTCTAACGGCATTACCTGAGCCGCAATATCGTCTCTCTTCAAGTAAGGGGAAGGAAAAGGCGTAGAATCCTCAGTCATTACCAAACAAATTGAATGTGTCTGACGACAAGAAACGGCAGGAGAAGAGATTGTGTAGAACATGATTTTAAAATGTAATATCTGATACTTTACTAAACACATCAGCAATGCTCTGTAGGAGGAGCACTCTTTTAAGACTTGAAGCAATCGATAATACACAAACGCTGATCAAACAAAACCAACCGGACGACAGATAACCTTGAGCTCTAACTTTCCTCGTTCAACACTCTCTCCGCCGGCTGACGATCCTGGCTTTTTCGGGCTGTTGTAGATTACCTCAGACGAACGTGTACTACGTTTCCGTGGGCCTGAAGACTTTCTTGTATCCTTGAGCGTTTCTCCACTACATTTCGAACCATGATTTTAAAAGTATGTAAAAAACTCATCAAAGAAGTTTACTGATCGGCTTGGGTCCCTTTGCATCCGGGCACTCCTTGATCAACGGATGCATGATAATCAAATAGTGCATCATTTAAACGCAATGGACTATCTCATCTGTAAGAGAGTAATCGGAGGAACCAGAACGAATGACCGCGAACCAGAAATCAAGGACCAACCGAAGCCGAGTTACCCCAGTGACAATTACAATGCAATTTCGGTTTCTACGTCTATTAGCTTTTGGTATAAACAACAACCCTCTTATAAACGGTTGGATAAAATAAGGAAAAAAACCTTCGTCCAAAAAAGTGCAATTTAGGCAACTTGCCAATCCCTCGTGGATTCATTAGAAAATCAAAATCTTACTCTTATTTAATATTGTTTTTTCTTTCTTTTGATTCACAACTGGCATGAAATTTTAATTTTTGTGGTAAATTAATAAAATTATTAACCATATTATTAATTAAATCCAATCACATCGATTCTCATCGAGCACTCAATCAAGTTCTTCTCATCATACATTTCTGAGAGGTCGACCGCCGGAGTTCGCTCCCTACCTTGTCTTAGCCTATATCTAGATGTAATCTCGGTTTAGGTTCAAAACAATTACAGTCTGCCAGATCCCAAAATAAAAATAACTACTCTCAACGAACTCGACATCTCGGTACGAGCTCCAAAAGTTGGGTGCAAACTCCATTGGGTGCGAAATCTCCATAATTCAATTGCCTTCAGCTATGAATGTGACAAGGCCATCTCCATTAAACACCTGCTTTTCAATATTTTCTTTTTTTACCTTAATATTTGATTAAAAGAAAGCAAAACAACGCCTCTTTGGTGACGTTCAAATCACTTTGTCCATCAAAACAAAGGAGCCATCCAACCACTTTCATTAAAAAAAACCTGTAAATCAAACAAAACCTAATAACTCTCACAGTTATAGATCAACAAATTGATAAAAAACGGAAATTTGGTCTCTCAAACTACTATTCAATGGTTAAAAAGCAGGCTTTTGCGTTGAGGATGGATAGATAACAGATACGAAAAACCAGCAAAAGAATGAAACAAATTATGCATCACGCAGTTTTTTCAGAGTTAGGCGAAAGTGCAGCATTGTGGCTCTGGTAGGACCAAGAGGATCAAGGATAACATAATGTAAGTTGTAATATAGAGATACACAAAAACAGCGAAAAATATACATCTTATAAGGCCATGGATAAAATTGAAGCTAAAGGATAAAAGCGCACTTTCTTCGCACGGCATAAATAGTACCACATTTTGCTTCACTGTTACTCAGTCTGTATTCTTCCTGCTTTGTCGATCAGTCAAAAAGTAATTTATAAAACGGAATCATTCTGTTTTCTAGCAAAGGTTTGCAATAGTCTTACATTATCAGGTACACCTTTCAAGAAATTGACTTATGCTTGGGCGCGCTTTCCAGCTGTGATCATGTTATGATGTTCAGCTTGGATGCTCAAAGGTGAGGTTTTCGATTACAACAAAGTTTTAAAGCTGGCCTGATTTTTAATTATAGGTAAAATATAAAGAGCTTCTTGGGAGTGAGATGAAGTTGAAGTTTGGTACAAATTGCAGTGGTCTCGACATGCAACCTGTTCTTAACAGAAGAAGTGATATTCGATCTACAGGTAATAATTTAGTGCTTATAATTACTCTCGACTTAGTGTTCACTTGATTATTCTTCCATGTTACGCTACTAGTAAGATGTGTTTCTAACGTAAACTTTCGTCAGCAGTGCCGTGTTCGATGTTTTAAAAAGTCGGTCCTTAAAAGGGACGCGGTAGTCCATGTTTCAGGCCTCGAGCTGTAGATGTCGAAATAAATTTTGCATAAATTGTTTCCCTTACTGCTGCGTTTATTCCGGTTTCCGTAATATTTAGCATCATATTCACCATAATTAACCAAGTCAATCAGTCATATTTCAGCGAATGTCACTGATATTTTTCAATCTTGTTATTTACAGGGAATGAGACTAGCGCCGCGAGGACGACAGATATCCAGCTTATATCAGGTCTGATATCTACTGCCTACGTCGTTTTATTGACCGCGTCACTATTCGGCAACTCAGTTATCATTAAAATTATACGAGCAGACAACTCCATGAAGACCACTACCAATTATTTGATTTTGAATCAAGCGTGCGCTGATCTCTACAGAACATTAATGGAATCTCTACATATTTCATATCATCTTATGGGAGGGCGCTGGTTCGGAGGCATTGTAGGTCTGATCACTTGCAAGTTATTTCTGGCGAACTTGTTTATTCCGGCCATCTTTTCAGTCTGGATTCTCCCAACCGTTAGTCGACCTTTCCGGTCCTCGCCTTTATCTCGACATTTTAAAAAGATAGTCATAATATTGTGGAGTTGGTCCGTTGCATGTTTCGTGGAAGTCTTCATTACAAGAAGTTTGCACAAAACAAAACAAGACTACTCTTGTCGTGCAATTCATTTCCTGCAACAACAGATAACATTTTATATTTTGACTGTTTCTTTGAATGTCTTCCTGCCTCTTTTCATGACAGCAGTTCTTTACATCATTGTTAGTCGCAAACTTTGGTCACGTGAGGTACCAGGAGAAGGAACCAATCAGAATCAAAGACAAGCTGAAGTCGTGAAAACAGCCAGTAAAGTTACCCGGATGATGATAACTGTTGTGGTTTTATATGTGCTGTGTTTCCTTCCCTTTTTTGCAGGAAAAAGCCTCTACCATTTTGATTATGTAGAAGATAAGTCAGATTTTATATTTTTATCTCTTTTTGTGATAGCATTTGCTTATAGTGGACTCAATCCATACATTTATCTTACCTTTAACCAGAAGTTTCGAAATGGATTTAAAACTTTGTTTGGAAATTGCTTACGAAAAATCAAATTTCATAACATTGTTCATTTTCGATCCCGACGCGTCGACCTTCAGCAAACATAGGCCGTTCACGGAGAGAATTGTTTATCAAGGGCGGTAAAGAGATTCGTGGTAGTAAGGAAGAATAATTTAATACTTGAATTATAACTATTTATAATTGGAAAACGACAGTTTGATTTATAAGCATAACTCTACCCAGGCGGTACAATGTATGTAATCCTTGGTCTTAAGCTAAGGAGTAATAAATTTAGCTTTGAAAATATATTTTGTATCTATGTGAACTCGAAAAGCTCCGTGGAGGAGAATGCGCTTATACTTGAGCATAAAACAACTTTTGACTGTAGTGAAAAAAATTAAACAGAAATATAACACAGCATGTCTAAAATATAACGTAATTGTAACATACGCTTACTTGCAAAGACGGTAAAAAAAATGGTATTTCAATAACAAAAACGCGTTTACGACAAGAATGGAATCAGCGAATGACAATTTTATGAACGGCTGTATCTTAAATATCCATCCGGCATTCCTTGCTACTGCCTTCCAGAGATAAAACATTTAAAAAACAAGCTTTTGTTTGGATTACTTCAACGCTGGTAATGAGTGTTTTCCATTATTGCTTTATACTGCAAACTGTGGTTTGGAGGAAAAGCAGGTCTTCCCACCTGCAAGTTCAAACATTTTTTGTCTTTATTTGACCTGTCTTTTCAAAAGATCCTTCGGACAATTGCAGCTGAACGCTATCATGGTGTCACTCAACCTTTGCAATCATCGTTTATATCTCGACATTTAAAGAAAATTTTGCACTGGCGTGGGCTTGGTGTGTTGTTTATTCGACAAGCATAATTTGGTCACGAGGGAGTACGATGGAATGTTTATAAAACTGTCTTTCAGTGCAGATGTTGCCACTTGAAATATTGGGCAAAACTAATTTGCGCTGTTGCCTCAGTGAGAAACTTGCCATAAATTTGGTTCAATACTATCGAATAGCCAATGAGAGTAAGTAACCGCCCCTAATTTCGATGAAACATAATGTAGACTCAGTCATTTGAAATTTTCATTCAAACCAAATCACCTGATTAAGCTGTTATATTTGTCACGTACATCGGTCAGCCCATCTACTGCACACGCTTTTTGCGACCCTAAAATTTCAGCTCTGTGAAATTAAGTGTCATTGTCACTAGGGACCAGGCAGGGTCCACGGATCGAGGTCGGCCGATTCCCTCCAAACTCTTAGCATTTTTTCTCTATCAGATAAGATAACGACTGGTGGTATTTTTAGTAAAATAAAATAAATTTCATAGAATTTAGACCACC